GCTGTGTTTGAGGGTTGATAAATGACCACAGTCGGTGGTCAGCTTCTCTTCCTCTCCACAGCTGCTCTGCCACATGCTCACTTGGAGTTGCACAACATGTACAGCAGGCCTCTAGGTTCGCCGCGTTAACCCGGTGTAAAAGGCTGGTTGTGCGGCAACAGTGTGTGTTTGTTTTTGTGTCTCAAGTGGACAGTTGATACGAATACACACCGACACTAGGTGGACATTTTGTATTAGCAGGACGAGTCAGTTTCCTGTCCAGTGTTTCTAGAGAGCTCAAATCCAAAGTTTCAGCAAAGAGTCCTGCTAGTCCACAATTACCAGACATTGTGTATAATCTGTGTATCAACACAACGCCCCCCATAGTTTAAATGTGCTACTGCACCACCTCATGAATAATTCACACAGGTTCATATTTCGCAACCTTTCCTGATAATTCTCACACATTGCTGATGATTCAACTTTAACTTTTACTGCAGATATCTTGTCTAACTTACCAACTAACTGAGGCTGAATTCAGATATGATTGTAGCTTAATCATTCAGTTACAATTTAGTATTGCCCCCTATGTCAGTGTTCAGCTGGTTCAATCTATCAGGCAGAGATTATGTTTTTCCTGATTGGTCAACATTTATAAGCTAATTTCAATATAACTTTTTGTGTCATTCAAGTGTGAACATTTGTTGGAAAAGTCAAGCAGCATAAAATGTAGCACACATGGCCACTAAAATGCTTCAGTGTGGGGCAGAGTTAGTAAAATTAATTTGCTAAATCATATAACCCTTAACATTTACCACTTAAACACAGGTACAAAGAAACACCAAAATAAATAATTGGTACTTCAACTTCACCGAATATTTTTATCTCTAAGAACCTTTTTTAACAGCCAAGGTGAGAACATGACAAACAATGACCAGAAAATCCACAGACGTGGAGTCAAATTTCAGCAAATTGTTTATACAACATTAATGAGTATTTCTTGGTGAATGTAACATAATGAATACACTTTCACCTAATTCATAATACAGAAAAGATTTATATTCAGCAAAAAACAACATGTATTATAGGAACTACAATGTCTGCTTTCACACTTCTGAAAATAAATCTATCAAGGCATACACAATGCAGGTAAATAATGGGTCAGGGTTTAAAATAGTTTACAATGTATAATAATCATAAGGTATTTATACATAACAATATTAAAGTGTGTTGTAAAGGTGAAGGAAAGAAGGAAATGGGTCCAAAAAACCCACTGAACTTACCATTCACCACTTTCCTGGTGCCTGTGCACAGACTGAAAAGATTCTGTGGTAGTGTGAGAATGGCCTGGGGAATGGTTGTGGCCTGGCATGTTGGCAGGCAATAAGTCCATGGGAGAAGAACCATGACTGTAGTGGCTGGGACGGCACCAGAGAGCAATAGTTTCTCGGGTTTCTCGTCATTATGCCCAAGTCTTTTGCCTTTTACTACAGACTTCCGTGTAGAGGGAAACCATTGAGTTAAATCTGCTTTTGGCAAGCTCTGCCATTTGGCTGAGCTTGGTGCATGTGTGAGAATAAAGAAATAATTAACCAAGAGTATCCAGGAATTCATTGTCCCCATTTGACCTCCATCCCAAGTAGTAGGATCAGTGGGCATCTACTGTGCGGCGCTTCGGGACCAACTCAGATCTGAGCCAGTGGTATTCAGCAAGGCCATTCAGCAAGGCCTTGTCCTAGTCCACACCCATTGACTCCTGTTCAGCTGGGAAGCACCCATGAGAAGGGGATCTGAAAAAGCTTTACTTATATACTTATACTTATATAAGCTTTTATATTACAAACTCAACATTAACTTTCACTACCTTTGAGCACCAAGCATCATTGATGTAAAAACAGAGTCTTGCCACTGTGATGGAACAAGGTTCTGTAAAGATGTGTGCATTTTTTGAGTGCTGTTTCTCCCATGAAGTGTGACATGCATCAGGCTGACATATCTATGGTTACTGTCACAAAAAGAAAGGACAGGAGAGGATGATGGGTAAGAGGAAGTGCTGCCAGTGGCTGCCCATCCGTGTCGGGAATCATAGTGGACTGACAGAAAGAGAGAAGAGTTTGTCGTACAGTCAGTGAGGAGATACACCTTTCACTGTGTGTGTGTTTGGAATAACCAGCTGCGAACTGATGATGAAGCCAGTGCTTGAAAGTCACACTCAAATACTTACACACACTCAAATTTGACAACGACTGTTGCCGTTGAACTGATTATTAATTATTTCTTCTGATATCTGTTGCAGCTCTGATATCGGCTGGTTGCTGCACCAACTCTTGTAGGAGTGTAAAGCTTTGGGACAGGTGAGCACACACTCACACACATGCTAGCAAACACACAAACTATAACAAAGCTAAAAATTAAAAATGCTACAATAACTGAAATTGATTCTAGGCTACTTGAAGGTGAGGTAAGCAACAGCTTGGCTTTCTGATGGAGTTGAGTGCTTCTGGACCTCACTGATTACTTTTGAACTTTGAACTTTAGCAGTGATTTGGGTGAAACTGGATCATATTTCATGGAGAGAATATTGTCTGGTTTTCTCTCTGATCTCCTCCGGCTGCTCTGCCTCAACTTGATTATATATTGATATTGATATTTAATGATGAAGACAGAGTGTAATTTATATTCAAATGTAGAATCTCAGGTTGTTTAAAAGCCCTAAATACCCAGAATCCACCGAGGACATGACCTTAGTGATCACTGTGGCTCTGGAGCAATGATTGGTAAAAGTGGCCTCAGTGTGTGTGTTTGTGTGTGTGTGTGTGTGTGTGTGTGTGTCACCCTGGTGCGACCCCTGCTTTAATGCATTGGCCGCAGGGTGAGTGATGGCACAGGGTTAATATTTAATGATGAAGCAGTTCCTAATGGGGGAATAAATCAGCCTCCATCTTTACCTGGAGAGGACAGATCGTCACATTCTGCTGAGTGCAGGATACACACACACACACACACACACACACACACACACACACATACACACAAACATGCATCCATGTGCAGTCATTTCCTTCTTGTCTTTCAGCTTTGATGCCTCCTGACGATGACATGCCTCTTGATCAGATGCTGCTGTGACAACCCCCCCCCCGAGAGACAAAGAGGGATGAATGGACGGAGAGATGGGTGGATCAACGTGTAACCGGATGGATAAATGATCATGAAATTCAAAGTCAAGCAGTGAAGAGCGAGGAAGCAGATGAGTGAAACAAGGCGACAAAGAGGCAAAACACTGGAAACACTTGAACACTCTCTGCCCTGTCTGCTGCTGCTGCTGCTGCTATGCATTTCCTGTGGACCACCAGAAAAGACTGAATGTCACTGTCGGGACGGGCAGAGGCTCGTCCCTGCGTTGCCAAAATGACGAGAGGAAAATAAACGAGACAGAATCTTTGTGTGGCCAACAAAATAGTCCTACCTCTTTGGAAAGACAGAGACCTTCTGGATGGAATAAGCTGTATATGGAAGAGTAACTTCTCAACCCCCGTCCTTCAAAATCACAACGCCAGTGATTATTTTAAAACTTACTACCAACATGTGACGACGGTAACTACTTCTACAAAGTCATCGTGGATCTGGATTTAAAGCACAAAAGGAGTTATTTCAAAGAGAATGCTGTTTTATTACAACTTGGGTCTTATTTTTGTAGCTTTAGCTTTTGTTTTCTATCATTCGTGCTAACGTTGTACTCGCTAAAGTAACTGCTAACACAGCAACATTATAGTCCAACAGGTCATTGACAAGCATTGATTAGCTACATTATCTAAAACCACTTTATGTGGAGGTCATTAGGGTTGGGCAACCGAGAGTGACGTTCACATATTCCCAAACGAACCACACCAAACTTCTTCAAACGAAACGCATTTTTTACTTTCATCTAGAGCTGCAACAATATTTATTTTATTCAACAATTTGAATATCTTTGTTTTTGTGTAGGAATGCACGATATGGATTTTACCTATAACCGATAATTACCTGCTTCTCATGACCAATATTGATAAGATAACCAGTAATTTCACATTTTTGTATAAAAAAAAAAGCTCCTGTAGTTTATGCACAGCTGAGGTTAAGAAAGGTTGACCAAATCTATCTGACATCACTATTGTCAACACCGAACAAACAACAGTTCTCTTTAAATGTTCATTTACTGTTTCCAGTAAAGTTCATTAAAAAACCAGACATACTTTGGATTTCATAGAACATAGGGGCAATCAATAATTGATCGGCTTGATTTAATTATCACGATAATTTGGCTCTAGATACGTGCGTTAATTTTTATTGTGGCCACCCTTGCTTTGCTTTCACGCTTGTGAAGCGAGGGAGGTGCAACCAGCAACTATGCCAATCGATGCCACTAAATCCTGCACACTGGACCTTTTGAGCTGAAACAGTTATTCAATTTTGAAATTCAGACTATTTTGATAATTGAATAATAGTTTCAGTCATTTTTTAAGCAAGAGCAGTGAAAGATAATAAACATTCTCAGGTTCCAGCTTGTCTTTGTTATAGAAAAGAGTAAACTAGTAACTGCAGAGTTGTGATGGATTTTTTCACAATTTCTTGACATTTAACAAATTATTAATCGGTTGATTGATGGAAAATAATTGGCAGAATAAACAGTAATTAACATACCGGTAATCGTTAGTTGTAGCCCTAAACTTGATGAGTACAATGTTACTATTACTGATAGTAATTATGCTCAAAACTACAACACTAACAGCCAGGTTGTAATAAAGAGAAATTATACTTAGCAAACTCTGTTGAACAAGCAGTTTATTACATTTTTTTTACAACCACAGTTAATTCAGATGAACACAGCAGTTACCAGCACAGCTAGCATTCATCTCCAGTTTGACCAAAATAAGCTAACGCAGAAACAAACAAGCTCCAGTTGCCATATTTGGAAGTATGCGTAGCTTCTGTGTGAAGTGTTCGATGGCGTTTACCCTGGGTGCTGTGGTCGGAAGGGTTACAGAGAGAACATATAGGGAATTTAATATGTTCTAGTTTAGGTTCCCCTAAGAAAAGGTTTGCTAACTTCCTGCTCCTCGTTCAGCTTTTGTGTCATGGTCCGTTCCTATACCGACAGTGTTCTAAACCCTGTGTCAGCATTCAGTCATATATGTGGTGCTGTGTGTGTGTGTGTGTGTGTGTGTGTGTGTCCTTCTCCACACACCTGGGTATCTGGACATGGACAACAGGCCTTGTGCAGCGTTTTATCACTGCATGGTGAAGAAGGGTGAGGTTATAGAAACCAGATGGGCTGTACTGGGGACATCCAGCTAAACCTGATGCAGCGTTGCTAGGATGCAATGCTAACAATATCCTGCCGTCTTGCAGATTTGTAGCTAATCTTTTGTAATTTGCATCACTGTTATGGAGGATCAAAGAAAAGGAAAAGGCAACTTCACAGACAATGAGATAAGACAATGAATTGAGCTGTACAGCCATGTCACAACACAGTTGGACAGTTATTTGAGAATTAAGTATTTTGACTTTACGCCTGCTCCTGACTGTAGTTACATAGTGCAAGAACAGTACAGAGGAACTACTCACCCTGTTACTGCTCAGTCTAGCATCAGAATGATTCTGAAGCTGTTAAAAACGTTGCTGTTAAAGATAGAAAGGTTATATAATGCAGAAATGCAGAAAGGTTGCAGAAATCTTCTGAAGTGAAGGTTTCTAAGTAGTAGAAGCATCTTTTGAGTTTCCGACTATCTGTGCAGGATTTTCACCAGCAGATGAACTGAGCGAGATGTGTTGTTCTTATGAAACTGGATGCTGGGGGGTGCAGAAAATGTGACATTTGACTTGGTGCACACACAGTGGCTCTCAATAATATACACATACATTAATCCTGAACTCATACTGTATAACCTCTTCACCCTGTGAGTTGTTTGTTTTTTTTAGATTTGGTGGCCGATGAAACAAGACAAGTACTATAATATATTATCAAAGACATTTATGTTTTTAAAAGTCAAGAGTAGTATATCTGCTTAGTTTTATAAATATATAACTACAGTTATTATTTTTGACTTCTTGGTATTATATAACTAATTATTATAACCAGAGATGTATGTATAAGCTAATAAAAGTGTCTTTATGTAAAAACGACTCCTTTGCAGAAAGTGTTCATTGTATCTGTTCTATTATTTGATAGACATACACTATATGCTGATGACTAATGACTATATTTAGAAGGTTAAAACCCTACAGAATATTTTCTTTTCCAGGTGGAAAGACAGGATTTGCAGTCCAAAGTGTGAAGACATGTGGCTACACGTGACAGAATCTGAATCTTAATATGTAGAAAGTAATAGATTTTATTGAGCATAGCGTTAGTTCAGGCAGGCCACGAAGTCAGGCACGTGGAAGGACAAGGAAGTCCCAGAACAGAGCCATACCGCCAAATGTAATATTCTGCTTTGGGATAAAAGATATTTTGACAAAAGTGGTCCTGACTGAATTAGAATTAACATTAATTTAACAGCTAAAATATCTTATTTTCACTG